TGCAGAGAGACTCAATGGCCCATTAACAGAAGATATCCCCCTGGAGGAAGGATGGGTGGTGGAAGAGATAAAGAACACTGCCCCACCTGGTTTTAACAGCTGGCCCATTAACAGAAGATATCCCCCAGTTATGAGGGATGGGTCATGGAGGAGATAATGAAAACTGCTCCACTAGTTTTTAACAGATGGTGATAGAATACATACATTTGGTTACATCTTGCATTGCAACCCAGGACATGGGGTCCCTAAAAATTGTACACCACCAAAATTTGGCCCTGAAAATGCTTTCCAGAAGTTTTCCATTTCTGTTCTCTCCCTTTTGGTGTTCAGGGGTTCCCCCCTGTCCCAGCTTCTGGGGGTCCCGCTTGTACTGGGGGTCCACTTCTACTCAGTCCCTGACCTCTTCAGGCTGCTGGGAGTGCCAGGAATTTGAAAAGTTCCTCCCATTTCCATCTCCCCACTTAGGGATGCTGGAAGTTTTTGGGGTCCCAGGGTCCCTGCTCCCCTTATTCCCTAGTTGGGGGTGCATTGGGTCCAAGGAGACCCCCCTGCCCCTCTCTATTTAATTGAGGGTCCCACAAATCATGGCGCGCCCCCTCTCTGGGCTCCCCACTTTGGGGTCCTGGGGGACACAGGGCTCTGCTCCTCCAGGCTGCCTCTGCCAGCAGCTGCCACTGGGAACCCCAAATGTCCCCCCAAAGGGCATTTTCTTTTCAGCTTTGGTTTTCTTCATTCTCTAATCATCACCCCCAAAACCCCAACCCAGGAACCCCCCAGGATATCTGGGCCGAGCTCCCCCTCCCTCGTAACCTGTGGGATAGGGGGGGTGTTTATCCCACGGATGGGGGGGCTGTGAATTCAGGGAGTGAATCCCAGTTTGACTGGGATATACTGGGCCTGAGATCATACTGGGATAACAAGCACCTAACTGGGATTACTAGGAGTGTCTGGGAATGGCTATGGACATGCTGAGGGCAGCTGGGATATACTGGGAGTGTCTGTGATCATGTTGGGGATGACTGAAAACACACTGGGAACAATGGGAACCATGCTGGGGACAACTGGGAACAACTGGGAGTGACAGGGTCTACACTGGGGGCAACTCCAGCTGGGCATAACTGGGACCATGATGGAAGCAGCTGGGATCATCTGGGGAGCAACTGGAACTATACTGGGGCCAACTGGGTGCAACTGGAATCACACTGGGAGGAACAGGGAGCAACTGGAACCATCCTGAGGGTAACTGGCATCCTACTGGGATCACAGTGGGATCGCAGTTGGGCCATGCTGGGCAAGACTGGGACCATACTGGCAGCAACTGGGACTGCACTCAGGGTGACTGGGAGTGTCTGGGAGCAACTGGGATCAGGCTGGAAGCACCTGAGGAGTGACTAGGAGCAACTTGGATAGACTGGGAGAGACTGAAACCACAGTGCAGGTAAATGGGAACAACTGGAACCACACTGGATAATCCTGGGAGCAGCTGTGCCCATGCTGGGATTATACTGGGATCCAAGTGGAACTAACTGGTATCATAATGTGAGTGACTGAAAAGGTGCTGGCTGTGACTGGAATCATGCTGGAGGTGACTGGGAGCAACTGGGCCCATCCTGGGAGTGACAGGGAGTCACTCTGGCCATGACTGGAATCATACTGGGAGGGCCTGGGTGTGACTGGAACCATACTGGGGGTGACTGGGTGCACCAGCTCATACTGGGGGTGACTGAGATTGTAGTGGGAGTGACTGGGATCATTCTGGAAGTGTTTTTCTGTCGATCTTACGTGTTTCTGGTCTCCTTTTCTTCTCCTTCCTATCCTACGTACCTGGAACATTTTTGGATATATTAATGTTACCCAAAATCTTAAGGGCTAACACTTTTTAGGATAAATGAGCTAAGTTTGCAAAGTTAATGCTATGGTAAGAGTTTTATGTTCAGTTGGATGTTGTATTAAACCCTTTGCCAAAATTCCTTGATTGTCTGTATTTTGCCTGTTAAATTTTGTGTCATTTTGACCTCTTAGCTCAGTTGGTCAGAGCATGGTGCCAGCATCACCGAGTTTGTGGGTTCAATCCTTGTGGGGCCATTATCTTAAGAGCTGGACTTGATGGTCCTTGTGGGTCCCTTCCTACCAAGAATATTCTTTGCATCTGTCCATGCTGAGAAGATCTGGTTGTTGTTTCTCCTGTGCACCAAACTCAAGCAGAGGAACCTTTGGTTACCACCAGCATTGAAGTGTTCTGGGGTGTTACAGCCCCGCAGGCTCACAGTGGCCTCTTGTTTCCATAAGGCCCCAGAGTGTCCCACTGGTCCCTTGGTTCCATGGGCCCAAGAGTGCCACAATGATCCCCTTGGTTCCACAACTTCCCACAATGTCACACTGGCCCCTTGGTTCCATAAGGATCTGGAGTGTCACACAGGTTTATGGCATTTGTCCTTGCTGCCCCTTACATCCCACTGCCCCACAAAGAGCCCCGAGCCACCCGTGAGGGACAGGCCCTGCTGGGCCAGGCCTGGGCTCAGGGCTTGGCCTTTCTGCTTCCTCCAACCCAGCCAGGGCTGGCTCAGCATTGCAGTTCCCTGCTCAGAGCCTTTGGCTCCCGGCAATCCTGGCCTCCAGGATCTGCTCTCACCAGTCCCTGGGGAGCCTTTGGCAGTCCCTGCCCACAGTGGGGCTGATTGATGCTCCAAGGGACTTGGAGTTTTGCTTCTGACTCCTTGAGCAGATTCTTCAGCCTGAAGGAGGGACAAAGGAAGATCAGAGAAAGGAGAAGGAATCACGAGGTCAAGCACTCCCTGAATTCACAGCCCCCCCACTTATGGGACCATCACCCCCATGCCACAGGTGACCGGGGAGGGGGAGCTCAGCCGAGACATCCTGAGGGGTTGGGTTTTTTGAGGCGGATCTTTGAAGAATGAAGAACTCCAAAGCTGAGTGGAAAATTCCCGTTGCGGGGATACTGGGGTGTCCCAGCATCCCTAAGTGGGGAGATGGAAACAGGGGGAACTTTTCAGATTCCTGGCACTCCCAGCACACTGGGCAGGGGAGGGACCCAGTAGACAGGGGACTCCCAGTACAAGTGTGACCCCCAGCAGCTGAGACAGGGGGGAAACGCTGAACATCAAAGGGGAGAGAACAGAGATGGAGAACTCCTGGGAGGAATTTTCAGGGCTGAATTTTGGTGGTGTAAAATTTTTATGGACCACATGTCCTGGGCTGCAATGCAAGATGTAACCAAAAGTATGTTTTCTATCACCATCTGTTAAAACCTGGTAGAGCAGTTTTCTTTATCTCTTTCATCACCCATCCCTCATAACTGGGGGATATCTTCTCTTAATGGGCCAGCTGTTAAAACCAGGTGGGGCAGTGTTCTTTATCTCTTCCACCACCCATCCTTCCTCCAGGGGGATATCTTCTGTTAATGGGCCATTGAGTCTCACTGCAGGAATGATAAAATGACATCATCCCATTGTGAGATGCTGCACCCAGGGGGAGGAGCCAAGCATTCCTGACTGGATAAAATCTGGGAATCAGAACACCACAGGCAGTCTTTGTCCACTGGATTCCCTGTGGAGAGACCAGACCCATCTACAGCACCAGAACTTCAGAGGTAAGTTACAATCTTCAACAGGATCATTGCTTCAACAGAACCACATCTGTGTCTCCAGGAGTACTGCAGCCACCGTTTAATCAGACTGCTACCAGCACCCTGACCAACGGGGTGTAAGGTTCTGACTCTGTCGGTGGGTTGCTTTTTGTTGTGTTTTTTTTTTTTTTTTTGTACTGCTGCATTTTCATTTTCCTTTCTTTAGTAAAGAATTTATATTCCTTTTCCCATATTGTTACCTGACTGCACTTTGGTTTCAAGATTATAATAATTCGGAGGGGATGGGATGCTTACATTTTTTATCAATTTCAGTGGTGATTTCTGCCTTCCTTAGCAAACTCCTTTCAAACTAAGTCACGTCAGAGGCCCAGGTGACTTCTAGAGATGGGCTTGGTAAGAGGGACCATCAAACTCAATGTGCTCATTCCTTGTTTTCTCTCAAACCAGGAGTTTCCAATCCCAAACCTTGGCTGGATGGAGAAGCAGGCTGTGAGGAAGAGGAAGATCTCCCAGGACACCCAGGCAGGTGAGGAGGAAGTCAGTGCCCCTTTCCCCCTCTCTCCTGCTCCATCTCCCAGCCCAGCCTGGCCCCCGCCTGCAGGACAACCCCGCTGCCGACGCCGTCCTGCCGGGGACGCACTGGGGGGATCTCCTTCCCCTTCCCTCTGGCACGGAGGCAAATCCCATCCTCTCCTTGTCCTTCCTCCCCCAGACCAGGAGCTGAGGATGGAGACCAGGGAGGACAAATCCCCACGGCAGAACCTCGTGGAAGAGGCTGT